GACGATCAGGCCAGCGGGGGCGGGGGGAGGGGCAGTTGGGGTGTGAGCAGGCCAGCAGAGTGGTTAGGGGCGATCAGGCAGGCAGGTAGGTGATTGGTTAAGAGCCAGCAGTCCCGGATTGCAAGAGGGATGTCCGACTGCTGGTTTAGGCCCGATCCCTGTGGGCCGGCAGTCGGACATTCCCCTTGGGCCTAAACCGGCAGTCGGACATTCCCCAAGGGGTTCTAGATTGGAGAGGGTGCAGGCCGGGCTGTGGGACATCCCCCCGCCGTGCACCGGGCCACTAGTTATATATATCAAAGAACATAAGAAAGCCATAACATTTGTCACTTGGTAGAATACAGGCTTTTTTTTTTTTGTCTCTTTCCTTTTAAAAGCATCAAGACCAGTGTAGATAAATTAAATTGAAGGTAATACTAATATCTTTTCTTCTTCTTACACTTTCGGAACTTTTTGCTATATTCACTTTCTCTAATGTTTTCTGTGCTACTACTATCACTATCACTAGTTTGTTTTTGCCTCTTTCGTTTATTAATTTGGTAAAAGTCAGGATCATGTGGTTGTTGGTGAGTCCATTCATAAGAGCTGGGTCCAGCCTCTAGATTTGGAACATGGTTTAGTGAAGGAGGCATAGCTGTGTTCTTAGGAAGTGGTGCTGTCATCTCACAGTAAGGAAGCTGCAGCGCTGGATTACATGCATGCCACTGCTGTGGGAAAAAAACATTCATTTATCAAAACATGACCAAAATGTTAAAAAAAGTTTACAGTTTACATGCATTATACAAATAACTACCAGAAAATCAAACTGTGTATTAGTATAAGAAAGGCCATGATTTTGTAAAGTAGAGATGTGGTAGTTTCCTTAAATAGTTAACAAAGATTCAAATAGTATACAGCTTACTACAGTACAGCCTAGTGCTGTCCTATAGAAATAAAACGCAAGCTACGTATGTAGTTTTAAATCTTCAAGTAGGCACAATAATATATATATATATATATATATAAAACAAGTGCAATAAATAATGCATTTTATTTATCTCAAAATATCCAAAATATTATCATTTCAACATGTAACCAATAAAAAATTATGAGATATTCTACTTTCTTTTTTCATACTAAGTCTTCAAAATCTGGTATACATTTTATACTTATAGTATATCTCAATTCCGATGATAAGTTTTCATAGAATATACTTGATCTAAATTTAGGTTACATAAAATGTACATCTGAGAAAGTAGATACACATACCAAAGTTCTTTCAAATATAAGTAAAAGTTTTCCAGTAACTGAATTAATAACATTTTAAATTTTATATTGGTTACAGTATAAATAACACGGTGATACAGATTTTTGGTCTCACATGTGGCTAATAGCCACCATATTGTATAGCATGGTTGTCAATAGTTATGATATACACTTCTTTCTTTTTTTGAAGTAATTTTTAACTCAAATTTCTAACTATTCAAAGTACATTAAAGATTAATAGAGATAACATGAGAGTGAGTAAGTGTATGTATATGTTTTTCTCAGATCTACCAAAGATTAAAAATGCTGGGAAAAAGATATTGACAGCTTCAGATGAGAACTGGTGTTTACGACTAGCTCACTAGAGCTAAGAAAAGTTTTTTCCAAAAGTTAAATGACCAATTTTCCTTTTTTACAAAAGTGAAAACAGCTATTTTAAAATCTGAAGCTCACATGTATGCTGGATGTTTGTAAAAACCCCACCCTGTCAATCAGAATACCTGTGTTATAGTCCCACATCTGTCAGTAACAAGTACAATCTTGGGCTTGTTGATCAATATTCTTGGACCTCAATTTTATTATGTATAAAATTATGAGCTGATAAAACAAATAATTTCCCAAGTTCCCCTTTAATAATAAAGATCATAATTAAGATTTCTAAGCCAAAACCATATTTTTGAGAGTCTTTGGAAATAATGTAGTTTATTACATTAAAAATCTTTGCCTCTAGTTAAAAAAAAATATTTTTAAATTAATCCAAGTCCAAAAGCAATATATTTGTGATTAATGTTTACATTATGTAAAAACAATTCACCAAATAAAATAATTCAATTCTAAAAAATATCTTTTAAAACAGCCATTTAAGCCCTAGCCAGTTTGGCTCAGTGGACAGAGCGTCAGCATACAGAACAAAGGATCCCGAGTTCAATTTTGATCAAGGACACATACCTTGGTTGTAAGGTACTCCCCAGCCTGGTTGGGGCTCATGCGGGAGGCAACCAATCTCTGTTTCTCTCACATGGATGCTTCTCTCTGTCTTTCTCTCTCTCTTTTACTTTCCCTAAAAATATCCTGAGGTGAGGATTAACAAACAAAACAAAATAAAACAAAACAAAACGTCACTTAAATGACAACTCTACTCAAATTTTACTCGGACCACAGTGCATCATCACTCCCATCTACTCTTCGACGGACATGCTGGCTGTTTGCTGAGGTAGGTACTATGTTCTGGACTTAAGACGACTGTATTAGAGCCCTCTGCCATTGGGGGAAAGTGTTCTGGGAAGCTGCTGACTTTGTCCCAAGATTAGATTTGAGCACTGTAAGCTCCAAATAGTTTTCATATTCTTCACAGTTTGCATCACATTATATATTGAACCAAAGGCATATCAAACTTACCATCTTCTGAAAGAAAAAATGTTCTTGAGGTAAAGCTGCATTATTAGTTGGAAAGAACTGCATGGGAAAGAAAGAACTGCCCATGGCTTCTTCATTTCTTTGGAAAGGTAAAAGAAAATAATAAAAAGTTAAAATTCCTACCCTCAAGTGTCCATTTTTCTTAAAAATAAAAACCACAGCTCTTTATAATTTAAAAAAGAGAGAGAGAGCTCCTCTAAGAGAATGTGGTTAAGAACAATTAACTGTAAATATACATACACAAATAATCAGTTAATTAGGTACAGCAGCACCTTAAGTCATATTAATAGCTACATATTGAAATCTCAATATTTAGAGTCACATTTGGCTTTTTGATAGGAAAATAGTAAGCAATGTTAATTTTATAAAGAAAAAGAACACTTAGATATGAAGACAGCAGAGCAAGTCATTAATAATTATCAAGGGTAAATTCAATATTTTACAGATATTGAACAGTCAAAAAAAGGTAGACATTTTTCTCAATTTATTTTTGAATGTATATTCACTGTTTATATAAATTATGCTCTTTCCTAAATGTACTGATGTTAACATGAACACGTATTTGCTGATTTCTTCTACACATTCATATAGTAATAAAAATTGCTAATTTAAAACTGTGGTGTGTAAAGCTTCATTTCAAAGTTTACTATTTTCTTCCATGGAGATGTTCAAAAAATTAAGTTACAAAAACTGGCTAGATCTATAGCTTGTCTTCATTAGTCTACTTGCTCCAGAGTATTGTACAATTTTAATGTTAATACTACTAATCCTTGCGACAGAAAGTATACTTTGGGAAGAGTGCAATTAACATAGGCAGGTAGAGGCAGTCAGATGAATAGGTGTATATCCCAATTGTAAGTGTTGAGAGTAGTACCACAGAAGGCTAACTGATCCATCACAATGAGGCCTTGGATGCTTAAATGATTAACAGCTATGAAAAGAACATAATGAACGGTAAAGAATATACAGATATAACTCCCTACACCACATGCTACTGAAAATAATATGACTGAAGTTAAATGAAAATATCTTGTCACTTTTCATGGTTTCAGAAAAAATGAATTCCTTAATTTTATTGTATGCCTAAATGGTAAGGTTTACAATAATCCAAAACGTTTCCTGTCACAAGAATGTATTTATTTTCTTTACCGTCATGAAAAAATATTTTAATTACCTGTAGCTGTGTGAATTGATCTTAAGACAGCTCTCAAAACTTTGATTAGTTGGTTCAGAAGAGCGAGAACTCCCTTTAAAAGAAATAGAATAACATGGTGATTACTTCATTGTATAATTTTTTTGAGTTCTAACATAAAACTATAAAAACCCTCCAAACCAAAAAGGACATAGTATTAAGTAAAATTCTATACTCATATAAGATACATGAATATGTTATTGGTCTCTCAAGTAATATTTACAGATTGTTTATATTATTATAAATGACTAAATTATAATCAGGCTTTGTCCAAAGCAATGGCTCTACAATAAAATTATATTGACATGGGACCATATAAGATACATGCTGTTTTGTTCTATACACCTGTAAACTAAAAATGGCAACTCATCAGTGTTATTTGCCTCCCATGTATACGGCATGAGTTCTTTAAACTGCACTGACAAAGCCAATGCAACCTTACACAGGATGCTAAGCAGCTGTGTAGGGAAGTGTCAGAACATGATGTCCTGGACCATTCCACCAGCTTTTATTAATTAAAAGCTGGTAGAATGGGACAGTGCTGAGAGCATGATGCAGCCAATTTTCTTTGCAAAGAAATTAACAGAATGAAATGCAAAGAGAAGCACTTTTCCTTTGCAACAAGGCATTGTTTTGTTATTCTTATTTGTTTTTGCATAGGAAGATAAATAAAAACAAACAAACAAACAAACAAACAAGAGATATATCAATAAGCCTGAATCATTTAGGGGAGAGAAGCAACGTAAGCATTGCAAGCATTGCCTCTATCAGTCCCTTCAAACATAAAAGGCCTAGAGTATTAGTAGTGTTCTCGGGATATCTAATAAAAGATGATCAGTTCTTGGCATGTGTATAGGAGAAGGCACTCAAGGCTATTCATGTCAGGAAGCTTTCTTCCACCACTATGAAGGGTCACTCTGGAGCTGGTTTTGGTCAGTTGCTCTTAAAGGGGCTTAGATCCAGGGCAATATACATAACATGATTCCTTCCCCTAGTTCCAAGGAGAAGAAGGACTGTTGCCTACTATATCTTCCAAATAGTAGGTATTTTATATCATATATTAGCAATGACAAAAGGATGAGCAAATATTTTTGCTATATAAAAGCTAGAACTGTGTGTCTCCAGTTCATTTAAATTTTGCTTAATTTATAATAGCCAATAGCAACTATCATAGATATTTGCTGGCTGATACTAAAATAGAACATTAAAAAATTTTTAATACAGAAGCAATGCAATAGGGTTGGCATGTAATTTGCAATACTAACTACTAGTAATTACATACTATTATGAATTAAACATGTGTTTTGAGAAAATTTAATAGAGACTATGGGAGCACTTTTTTGGTCTTTGCTATATAGAAAACAAAATGCTTACACTTCTGAACTCACCAACAATAATAAAACTCACTTGGATAGACCTACCAAATCGATACTGCACATTAATCGGTCTTCCATATAAACGAATTCCATTCAGCAAAGCTATGGCATAAGACACTGATTCTGGGTGTTTAAAGCAGACAAATCCAAAGGACTTCGGCTTTCCTTCTCTGTCTTTGCATATAGTCACTTTGGTTAATGGCCCAGCCTAGAAAAAACTTAAAAATTATTTTCTCATAAATCTAAAGATGTTTTTCACAAATAACTCAAGTACATTTAGTTTTAGATTTTAAAAAATCTGTTAGCAATAACAGCTTTATGTAGTTCTGCTAATAATAGATTTTCCTAACAATTAATATTACACTTCATCACACTTTCTTGGTACTTTCTGGCTCATCAAGAAACATTTACGGTGTTAAGAATAGGAAATTGCCCTAACCGGTTTGGCTCAGTGGATAGAGCGTCGGCCTGTGGACTCAAGGGTCCCAAGTTCGATTCCGGTCAAGGGCATGTACCTTGGTTGCGGGCACATCCCCAGTGGGGGGGGTGCAGGAGGCAGCTGATCGATGTTTCTCGCTCATTGATGTTTCTAACTCTCTATCCCTCTCCCTTCCTCTCTGTAAAAAATCAATGAAATATAAAAAAAATAGGAAATTATAGGTAATGGGAAATTCTAGGTAATAGGTCCAAATTTTGAAAGGAATACTATAATACCCTTCAATTAGGTTTAATAAAACAATTTAGAGAGCATTTACCAGTGTATAACTAAAAAATGAAATGACAAACCCAATGTTGGTTGAGTTATGACAAAAAACAAAACTGGTAAAAATTTATCACAGCCTAATTTTTTTCTGTAAGAAGTTTTTTCATCAAGAAATGTTTTAATATATAGTGGATTATTTATAACTAGTAGCCCGGTGCACGAAATTTGTGCACTGGGGTAGGGGGGCAGGAAAGGGGCCCCTCAGTCTGGCCTTCATGCTCTCCAATCTGAGGCCCCTCAGGGAATGTCCAACTACCTGTTTGTGCCCACACTTTTAACAGATAACAGCTCCATTGTTGTTTCTTTCTCATGCTTAAAACCATTGGAATTAGTAGATATTCAAAGTGTGTATACATTTTGGGGGGACACCCTGTATATCTCTAGTCAGCGGTGAAAGAAACCAACAGCAGATTTGGAACCCCCAGACAGGGAACCTCGCTCACTCCCCACATGTCTCCCCACTTCACTTTCGACCTTCATGGGCAGCAGGAGAATCAACGTTTTCTCTCATTAATTCGGAAAAGCATGTCCTGTCACCCACTGCCCGGCAGGAGTGCGCTAGGCCCCAAGCAAGCGAGGCTCAGTCAGGGCAGCCTTCGCTCATGGGTGCTGGCACCCAAAGTGCACATTCCTTCTCTACAGTCGCCCCGACTATCCCACTGTTTCACTGAGAGGGTGGAATTCCTCTCCGCCTCTGGGTTCTTGATCTTGAACACTGACCGAAGGCACCTCAGCGAGGGCCGCCCGCGCCCACCAGGTGTGTCTGTCTGCACCTGCTCCAGCCTCAGCACCTGCATTAACCCCCCAGAGTGATCTCGTAGCTGCACTTGCCTCCGTGGGAACAGGGCATCACCACTCCGCCCTCTCACTGTCATCTCACAGGCGCCCACTCTCAGCACCCAGAACACCCAGACACTCTCCAAAGGACGTGAGCGCATCAGAGGGGATGTGTGCACATCCTGTGGGGGTGTTAGGCATGCCGGGTTGATGGAAGTGCGGTGGAGAGGCAGGGGGAAATGTGCACGCCTTGGTTTGCAACTGTTGCAGGCGCGGGAGGGTGACAGTGTGCTGGGGGATGTTCGCATGCCAGGGGGGATGTGCACACCGGAGGCCTCTGGCTTTGCAGATCCGCAAACCCCCGTGGTGCGGCCAGGAGGATGTCAGTCTGGCCCGCCACGGTGGCTGTCCATGCGATCCTGCACCTTCTGGGCCAGGAGGTGGACCTTGCGCAGCCACTCCTGGGCGCTGATGGCCTGCAGGTGCTACTTCAGCTTAGCCTGCAGGCTCCGCTTGGCGCGCTCACAGCTGTCACCACCGCCATGTGGGGAGTACAGGCCGCCCTCCGCTGGCCTGCCTCCCCTGTCCAGAGGCTCTCTGCGCTGCTCACCTGCCCAGAGTGATGGGCTGGGCGGAAGCCAGGCGTCCTGCCCTGCCCAACCCAGGCCGATCCGCCCCTGTGCGAGCTGCTGCCCCTCCGGAAAGGGTCACGGATCCGGGTCCCGGGACCACGGACAGTCTCAAGCGTGCCCCCGCCCGCCAGGTTCACAGATCTGTGTCTTGGTCCCGTGGACAGCCTCAAGTACTGCCCCCCGCCTGGCAGGGTCACAGATCTGGGTCCCGGGACCACGGACAGCCTCAAGCACTGCCCCCCGCCCGGCAGGGTCACAGATCCGGGTCCCGGGACCATGGACAGCCTCAAGTGCTGCCCCCCGCCCACCAGGACATGAATCCGGGTCCCAGACCGCCGACAGCCTCAAGCACTCCCCGCCGCCCGCTAGGTCACGGATCTGGGTCCGGACCGTGGACAGCCTCAAGCACTGCCCCCCCTCAGCAGGGTCACAAATCCAGGTCCCGGACTGCGGACAGCCTTGTTGCTTCAGGGTGGGGGTCCCCACTGGGGTGCCTGGCCAGTCTGGGTGAGGGGATGATGGCTGTTTGCAGCTGGTTACACCCCCTTCAGGGTGGGGGTCCCCACTGGGGTGCTGGGCAAGTCTGGGTGAGGGGATGATGGCTGTTTTCAGGCTGGCGGGCAACTGAGGCTCCCAACCTCTCCTTTTTTTCTTATTCTGGGATTTATTTACCTTCTATGGCTGTCACTGGAGCTGAGAGCCGGTTTTAGCTCTGAGGCTCGGCTCCAGCTATGAGACATCCGCTGCTGAAAGCAGGGATCTGGGTTTGTTTGGGTTCTATACTTGTAACACTGTTGCGATCCTGCTGGCTGAAAGCAGGTTTCTGGGGAATGTTTACCTTCTATATTTGCAACAATGTTTCTTAGAGTTGCAGCTCAGAGGCCGGCAGCAGCAGGCGGGGAACCTTGGCTTCCTCCGTCACTGGAGCAAGCAAGCCTCCTGTTCGCTTCAGGTGCCTGGCTGCCGGCCGCCATCTTGGTTGGCAGTTAATTTGCATATCTCCCTAATTAGCCAATGGGAAGCGTTTGGGGCCACGGTCAATTTGCATCTTTCTCTTTTATTAGATAGGGTTAGTGAAAAATCAGAAAGGCTCTAAATCCAATTGGAGAATGTTATTCCGTGGTGCATTATTAAAATACTAGAGGCCCGGTGCACAAAATTTGTGCACGGGGGGGGGGGAGGTGGTCCCTCAGCCTGGCCTGCAACGAAGCCAGCGTCCCTTGCCCCGGCTTCCGGCCCGAGGCCCTCCCCTCCCCTCAATCCGCACAGCTGGGACCCCTTCCCTCCACGCTGCTGGGGCATGGACGCTGGGCTCGCGTTGCCAGGGCGACGCTGCCAGCATCCCGCCCCGGCCACTATGGGCACTGCCACCTTTGTCGCAGAGTGATGGTTAATTTACACATTACTCTTTTATTAGATAAGATCATATATGGACATATTCAATATGTGATACTGAACCTGTCATTAGAAATATGGAGTAAAAAAGTGGAGTCAAATATTATAAAACAAATAATTTTGTTAATTATACTAGTAACTAAGAAAAAGTTTGCATCACCATGGTAATGATCAGAGGAGGGAAATACATAAACAGCTAAGATTTGATAATGAAGGGCTCAAACTTTTAAATTGTACCATCATTAAAACTGATTACTTTTCTCTGTAGAGATGGATAATTGTAGTAAGAAACTGCTTTTAATCTGAATAAAAATGTTAATTATCACCTTTCAAATGATGCTGTATTTTAGGATTCAGTCTTCTTTTCATTCTCTGCTTTCTCATGAACTAGCTCGTCCTCCCTTCTGGCTTCAAGGATCACTTCATCAAAAAATCTATTTTTTTCCTACTGATTTTCTTCTTTTGTGCCTCTTTCTAAGAGACAGTCTCCTGGAGACTTCCATGTGATTGCACTTCAAACTTAACATTTTGAAACTTAATTCATTATCTTTCCCCTGGAAATCTATACTCCATTCCTTAGTTAAAAGTACAAAGATATTAAACCTTACTTTCTCACTTCAAAGGATAATCAGAAATTTGAAAGACACTAGTAAAAAGATTAATGCATAGTAATAAAACCAATTTTAATCAGTACTTTTCTACCACTGGTATTAAATATATGAAATCACAAAGGGACAGAATATCTTAAATGCTTTGAATTTTATAAATTCAAAGATATGCCAAAGCATGTTGAAAGATAAAATTCAACAAGAGATGTGCTTGTAGCAACAATCACATTAGCTTAATCTTTTTATCGAAATAAAATACATTAATAGTGTTGTAGTTGTCAAGATTTGCTAGGTTGGCTGGGTTGAAGCCTTTCTAAAAGATACCTCACTTTAGCAACTTCTCCTAGAATAGTTATTTTCAACCTTTTTCTTCTTAAGACACACATAAACTAATTACTAAAATTGTGCACACACCAAAAAATATATTTTTTACCAATCTGATAAAAAAATTGTTATAATTTTGACTCATTCACACCAGATGGCTATTGTGTTGGCTGTTGTCATTTTTTAATTTGACAATCTAAGGGGAAAGAAGTCAGTGCCCCTGACTAAATAGTCAGGCACTGTATGTTTTAAAATTCTTGTGGCAGAGGTGGAAAATCGCTGTTCTAGAATAGAAACGGACATAGGCAAAATAAAAACATATGCTTGGTTGCCTTATCGTTAGAAAAGATGAATATTTTGTTTGGGTAGACATCATAAAAAATGAGACTATAGATCCAGTCCTTACTGAGTAGAAATAACATGTGCATGGGGGCCTTCATGACTTATTCCTCCCACCCCCACTTTGTTTTTGGAGGCTCAACATAAAAAAGCCTTCTGGAGAAAAAGAATGATTAAGTTTCCCAACCCCCCTCTCTCCCTCCCTTTCCTCTCCCTTCCTTCTGTTTTTTTAGAGTGACAAGTTCTAATGATATTGGGGGGGGGGGGGGTGGGTATAACTATAGGAAAAAGACAAGTATTAGAGCAGATTTTAAAAAGCAAGTTTTAAAAGATGGCAAGTTATTGGAAGGATAAGCTTAAAAGGCTTATACTTCATATTTTTCAAATATTAAAAAGGTTTATGTCCAGGACAGGAAACTGTATTCCTGGAAGGGACTGTCTCTATCAAATTGTATCTACTAGTACAATTAACAGAGGGGAACTTTAGTTCAGAGGCAAAGGGCCTTTCAAAAACTAAATGAAGAACCCTTTTCCTGGCTGCTACTATACTTACTCATGGAAATTTAGGTTTTGCTATTGTCTCAATGGGAACTTGTCCTTATGCTGATAGGGGAACTCCCTCTTTCCTGATTTCTCTTGATGGTAGTATTAGCAGTAGTAGCAGCAGCACACAGTGAGTGCCAGGCTCAGTAGTTTTACCTGGATGCATTTATTAATCTTCACACATCATATTGGAGATACTATTTCGCCCGAGCAACAGTTCAGGAAATCGAGGCACTGATATTCAGTTACTTGCCCAAGGTCACATTGCTGACGTCAGAACTCACACTTAAAAACAAACAAACGAAAAACTTGGCTATACTATCCATCCCGCTCTTCTGTCGATTATCCCAAATCCTGGCAATTAATTTTGTCTTCCCTTTTAAAAGACCAAAGTCTACCTCTTAAACTGTATGCTTAGTACCTCACTTAGTGTTTGCCATGTAATCCTGGGTCTTTAAACGACGGAATGAACGGTTGAATGAGTATATCCCTTTCGCAAGTGAGACCCAGGTGTACAGAACAGGAATAGGTGTTTACAGGAGGCACGAGGCTCAATCCTGGAGGCAGCAGGTCTGGAATATTTCTGGGTCTTCCGGGCATCAGATAAAAGGAACCGACCAGGGAGTTAATTGGTCACAGTCATGACTTAGCTGAGCAGATCACCTCAAATCTCACTTATCAGACACCTCCACATAAAAGGGCCTGCGGATAAAGTCACGGGTGGGGAAACATTTACAGATCCCATTTCGCGGGATGTGAGGCGAGAGAACGCTATCTTATCGCCTGAAGCAGTGACAGGGCGTTGCTCTGTCCTCGCTGAGCACAGCGCAGGCCCGCAGCCTCCGCGCAGCCCTCGCCCAGGGCGGGGGCCCATCACTGCCCGGCGCGGTGTGGGGCGCACCCAGCGCCACTTTCACCCCCCGGCATCTCCACAGAGTTGTGTTTGCAGCACAGGGTCCCCTCAACGCTCCCTCCAGGGAGGCCCCGGGAGGAAACCCAAGGCTCCGCGGCCCAGTCCCTGCAGCTGGGCTCAAAGCCGGCTCCTGGGGGCCAAGCAAACATGGTCTCCCCTCTCACAGGTGCCGACTCTCACCACCAACCAGATGGCACCGCTTCACCTTGGCCAGCTGCCTCCTCCTCTTCCTCCTGGCCCCTTGAACCATGGGCTGCAACGGGGCTATAACTCAGACTGGGATCGCGAAATCCGCGGGCCTTTTCGGATCTCTTTCCGCTTCTCCTCTTTTTTCCGACGTTTCTCCTCTTCTCTCAGGGCCTT